GAGTGTGGATTTGCCAGGACATTGTTTTCCCTGGAGCTGACTTTACATCTAACACAAGACCTTAAACAAGTGTGATAACTGTAGGGTTTGTTACTACATAAAGGCCTCATCTTTCTTGCATCCCTCCCAGCAGAAATGTAACTGGTAATTTTGGTGCACTGGCTGTCATGGAGAGTTGTGCCAAGGGTCAGAGAACAGCAGGGGAGAATCTTACCAGAGATTCAAAAGACCCTGGCGTCAACAGTTGCCATCACCACAGGCTCCCCACAGCCAGCAATGGTTGCTTCTGCTATTGCCTGGGTTCACCACCCACTGGCAGTCGTTCCTGATGCTATTGCGTAAATACTCCCTTTAAATTGGTGCCCAGGGCTGGCATCCTTGCCTGTCCACACCTAGCTACATTACTGTTCTTAGGGAGTTAAGTATGAGACCTGCTGGAGCCATGAAGATAAATATTCACACTGGACGTGTCTACATGTCGCTGTATGGATGGCAATGTTGCTACAGTGACATGCTTTAGTACTTCCTTTTGGAAGTACTAAAGCATGGTGCAGTCATCACACATACTGTGCCATGTGCGCAGCACATAATTAGATTTCACCACTACATCACCATAGCAGCACACTAAAAATGGGGGAGCATGCTACTATGGTGACGTAGCTGCCCATCACACACAGACCCACGTGATCGCTACACTGCACCGTACCGACATGTAACACATTGCTGTCGCCATAGGGCGATGTGTAGACATGCCCACATGTTCATTAACTATATTAAAAATGGGATTGATTCCCTCAGCAGAATTACTTTTATATACCTGGTTTCTAATATCCTTATAAGAAATCTCATGAACTACATGCAACCAAGGAAGGTATTTTTTGGATTATTTTAACTGGTGCCGGGGCCTGCAGAGAAACCCTCTAGAATAACTCCTATATCTTTTTTTTTTTTAAGCGTTCCCCAAATTTCGAGCCCTTGAAACACAAAAGCCATAGACTCCTTTGTTTGCAAAAGCACATTAGGCTTCATTTGTGTCAAAGGTCACAAAAACAAAGCTCTGCTCAAAAAAAGAAAACCTGCCAGAATGGTCAGTCTTCCTGGCAATATCATCAGAGAAGCCAAGTACTGAATGGGCACAGAGACTAAGAGCACTTCATCACGCCAAGGGATGGCCTTTGTGAGGTCAGGATTGAGTCGTGTTGGCAGTGCAAAACAGGGCAGCTGGAACTGCCATTTGCTGTTGCATCTGTTCTGTGGATAAAAAGTCTCCAGATACGTTATTCTGGCAATTTTCATGAACCCTTAAAGAAGTTATAGGGATCAAAACCAGAAGAAAAAATAATTAAGAAAGCCAGCATGAAATGGAGAGAGGTCCTAAACATAAAATGCATCTCACCAAGGGAACTAGGGCTTCTTGTTTTAATGTTCATATGCTGGAATAATCAAACTGCCTATATGTACAACAATTTCAATCTGAATCTTGATTATCGTAGAGCAAATGATTGTATTTAAATGAACATTTAAATTTCTCTTAAACACAAAGTGCCAGATTCACCTGAGTGGTTGGACACTTTAAGCCAGATTCATTTCCATTGATTAGGTTCCTGACATGTTAAAGTAAAGGCATGATGGGATCTGATATATGATTCCAAAAATCTTGCTCCCTGGCATGCCAGTCATGCATGGCAGATGGCACATTTGTGGGACCTCTCACATCAGATCCCATTTAACCATATTGCTGGTGCATGGGGAGCCAATCCCATACTTTCCCTGCACTCGCAAGTAGCAAACCTGGGAGCACACCATGCAGGTAGGAGCCCTGTGAGCTGACTGAAGTCCCTAGCCACCAAACCACACGGTGCTCATGGTGGACTCCGGGAGCCGGGAACTCTAATCAGCTGACAGACCTTCCAGCCACAGAAGCTCTGATCAGCTGGTGGAGCTCCTAACTGGGGAAGCTCATGGTGTGCTCCCATGGCTGGGACCTCCGAGCAGCAGAGGGGCGCTCTCGGCCCCTGGAGCACACAGGAGTCTTGAACGGCTTCCGTGAGCTCCGAAGGCTGGGCAGTGGCCACACTTTCAATTAAAGGTTTAATATGAGCCAGCCACAAAATTATTACACATGTTTTGTGTAGTAACTTTGTGGCTAATTCATCATTTTATCATGCCATTAATTGAATGAAGGTGTTGCCAGTCACTGCTTAAGATGTGATAAGCCAGTTGTCTGTCAGGGACTTTAGGCATTGAAATGGACTTAGGTGCCTAAGTGAGATTCTATTCCACAATGTTCGAGTCCTGAAAATCCATTAATGCTTCTACTTTGTAACACACTGTCTTCTTACCTTTAAAATTGAGTTTCAAAGAAAACAATAAGGAGGTGGAGGAGCCACTAACCTTGTGCGTTAACTGTTTTTCATGGACTACAGCCAGGTGAAATACAATCACACTTAGGTGCCTAAATCTAGCTATGTGCCTAACAAATAGAATCTGACCCTTTTTGCTGATCCAAACAGGAAAAAACAGTTAAACTAGAATCAGTTAAACTAAACTTATATGTCTTTTTTTCTGCCAGTGATGTTTTGCAAAGCAGCTGGGACTTCCTGGTGAGTCTGGCCCAAAATGACTGGCAGCAATTAACAGTGTAAGCAACTTTCTATTCTGTGAGATATTTTGA